CCAGCAAGATTGCTTCTTAGCACATGCCGAGGCAGCTTTCCCCCAGAGCGGCTTTAGATACTCCTCTGAGGGAACGTGAGACCAGAACTGTGCCTTTCGCCTTTTGTTCTGCAGATCTGAGTCTCTTGAGTCTTGGGGTCCTCCGGAGGTGAGTTTGTGTATGAGCACTCTCTGGTATTGGGGACTCAAGGGAAGGCTGCACGCAGCATTACTTCCAGAGTCCAGGGACAGTAATGAGACGTCATTGCCTCCTGTGGTAGATGAACCCCTGTGCCTTCTTTGGTTCAACTGATCCGTCGGCTGACCAGTTGGTTTTTGTGTGGCCACTTGTCTCTGTTTTTGTCTCTTGTTTGTCCATTTTTGTCATCTATTTCCCTTTCCTTTATAGATTGGGAACCATGGAACTTCCAGAAAGAGAGAGATGGTTATAACCTTCTGTGTGTGTGTGTGTGTGTGTGTGTGTGTGTGTGTGTGAGAGCGAGAGAGAGAGAGAGAGAGAGAGAGAGAGAGAGAGAGTGGTTTGTGTTCGAGAGACCATAAAAGAACAGACCTCCATCAAAGGTGAGGAATCTTGCCTCCATTGGCAGGACTGGAGAAACCCTGTAAACCTGGAGTAGAAGAAATCTCAGGTAAAGTCCGGTAAGACTGTGACTTTGATGAAGCCTCATGGATTGGGCATTAGAAAGCTCACTCCAAGCCCTGTGGCATTTTCAACAAAGCCAAGAACATTCCAGTTGGTTTTTCTGCCCTGTAAGTTCATGCAAATGTAAGTGAAATTATTTTTTTTTTTTTTTTAAGATTTTATTTTATTTTTTTTTTTAAAGATTTATTTATTTATTTACACAAGCACTGGGTACAGTCAGAGGCACGGGAGGGTGAGAGAATTCACCAGAGCCAGTGCGGAGAGCAGAACAGACAGACTGATGAAGTACACTGCTGAGGGGAGCAGCGGGCGGCAGGAGAGGTCTGCACGCCATGTGGGACCCTCGCCGGGCTGCCGGGGATCGAACCAGTGCTGCAGAGGCTGCGGGCAGCCTCGCAACCCAGCGCTCAACCACTGCACCACCGGGGAGGCCCTGTAAGTGAAATTATTTAAAATTAGATTTGGTTTACTATTTTACAAAATTGGGATGAGGGTAGAGAAATTATGTCTCAGTAACTATATTGTCTCTGGTCCTCTTCAGTTAGGGCTGTATCCTAAATGTTATCATCTTGAGAAAGAAAAAAGTAATCCCTATTACATTTAGGACTGAAATATGTTGTATACCTTATTACTGCTACACCACCACCAAAGCCTTAACATCATGTCGGAAACTGTGGTACCAGCAAGTGCAGACCTTCCATAAACTCTTGTTCAAGACCCAGGGAAAGGATGTCTGTGAGTAAACGCTGAATGAGATGCTTCAGCAAAGGCCCTGGGACATGTTTGTCAGGTAACCGAACACTCTGAGACCTCAGAGAGGCGTGAGTGTTTCTGTTCATTTCAAGATAGAGGCCTCAGTGCTTTGGGATCCTCAGGGTTCCAGGGGATACAACCCAGCTTTGTAGCCCTGCCAGAGATGGTCACACCCTGCAGGTCCTAGGAGCAGTGCAGAGCGAACAGCGCCTACCACCAAGCACCTGACTGGTAGGTGAACGAGTTGATGTCATCGTTGGAGAGTAATTTGTAAAGGTATGAAGTCCAGTCATGGCCCACATGGGCAGAATATGGATACATGTCACTCCCCCAAACTCTGCAGAGACTTGTGGCAGCTCCTGCCTCCATGGTTGGCAATGCCACTGTTGCCACCATTGCTCGCCAGTAATTGGATGAAATAAAGAGTGGCTGTACTGTGGATGCTCACAAATAAAGTACGTAAGACCCTCTTCCCCTGTGCGCTGGACTGGACAGTCAATGACGGGTAAGATCGGGGGCAGACTAAAGAAGGCACTGGCCAGCCTCATGTCTGTGACTCCTGACGACCTAAGACAGGCGCAGTCCCCGAGGGGCTTCATCATAATAAACTTTGGCGTTCAGATCAAACAAGGCCTACAAGCCTATAAGCCCAATCTAGGCAATAAGCCTGCAGTAAAAAACCCCTTCTTTGCTTGAAAACAAGGCTGCTAAGAGCGTTGCCTACAAACAAGCCTGATGGAATTACCTACAAAGCAGTTTAACCATTAACCAGTTAATCATTGTTTCTGAATAAGTAGTAACTTAGCAACTTGTCCATAATTATAATATTTTCTTACCTGACTTTTTCTATATATGTAAAAATCAGTTTCAGGAAACGTATTGTAAACACATATGCTTAGCAACTTGTAAACCATTAGCTAGAAAATTGCGTTCTATGCGTAGGTAAAAAGAAACATTGTTATGTTGGAAAAATAGATTTTGTGTGACCTAATGCCTTTTGAAAATGTATAAATATGCGTAATGATTTGAGCAAATTACACTCAGATTTTCACTCTCCCTTGAGCGTCCGCCCTAATTCTTTCGACCACCTTTTGCTCGTTCTCACTCAACCCTGAGACTGTCTCGATCTCCCGCCGCCGCTGGGCTGGTCCGCGGCAGAGACTGGTATGCCCAGGGAAGCATGGGTCAATAATGAAAAATCTAATATTGATGAAGACTGGCAGAAAGTGTACCAACTTGTTGGTCATGGTGATTTTGTTATTTGATTATATGTGACCATTATTCAGTTTTTGTACTCAGAAATATTGGGCCTAAAACAATGAAATAAAAGAAAGGAACACTTCTCCCCCTCCTCAAATACACTAGCAAATAAACCAATTTGTTAGTATAGACTTTGTCCTGTCTGGATTTTGTGGTGAGGCAGGCTGGTGTGAATCATCAGTACTAAGGGAGAAGCGGATGTCCCCAAACATGGAGTGTCCAGCTGGGAAATAAAGTTCCAGAAAGGTGGGAGCAGAGTTTCCAATCCTGTGACATGAGGTAGAAGGGCAGTGGATGTGACAAGGGTCAGGTACCGGGACACCCAATGACAGCAGACAACATGCAGGTGAGGCCACAAAGGAAGCCTGAGTCATTTAGGTCGTTCTGGGATTCAGGTGATGGGTGTGGCAAGGGAGAGAGAGGGCTCAGAGTGGGTTTTAAGTACAACATTTGGAAGGCCTGTGGATTCTCATCAGAATCGACATAGAAGTCAGAGATGGAAGTTGCCATTGGCTTTGGAGCATCTTAAAAGGAGAGGACCCGTATCAGACTGGTGCTGGGTGGGAGAGTTATAAGAAGTAATGTGAAGGAGAGCAAAAGATGCAATAAAATGTGGTGTCAAATCATTAATTTCTCAGAACAAAATCCTGGGTAAAGGTGGGCTCCCCTTGCAGCCTGAGATCTTGAATAAATGGTCATGGGCAGCTCAAATGAGGTCTGATAAACTCCTTGAGAAACTACTGATCTCTTTTTTGTCATACTCTGAACTGTGACTCAACTGGTGGTGGATGTGTAGTCAGGAGTGTGTCTCATAGCAACAAGGAGAGGCTTAGAGTCAGTCCTCCCATTTCATCTGTCATTTTTTTGGCTAGAGTGGTGCATCCAGGGACTTCTGTCCAAGATACAATGCAGGGCATGCCAGTCATTTCTCAACAGCTAGTCAAGCTTCTGGCTTTGCCAGACTGCCCAGGCACCAGAATTGGCCCTTTGAGTGAGCTGATGCACGAATAGTCTAGCATTATTTTGGCATACAAGGAAGTGCATCCAAAATGGTGAGAAGAAACTAGTATGTGAGGATCTTTCTAGTCATCCATCCATCCATCGATCCACCCACCCAATCCATGCATCAATCCTCCCCATCCATGCACCCGAACATCTATTCACCTATCCACCCATCCAAGAGTAGACAAGAAGCCGATTGCTTTCTTCTGAGGAGAATTTTTAAGATCTGCACCCTTATCAACTTTCAAATATGCAATACCGTATTTTTAAGTACAAACACCATGCTCTGCGTTACATCCCTAGAACTTACTCATACCTTATAACTGCAAGTTTGTGCCTTTTGACCCCTCTTCACCCGTTTCTGCCTTTTCTCCCAACCTGTCCCTCTGGCAACCACCAAACTGTCCTATGAATTTTTTTTTAATAACAAAAAATATTATACTAAAACATAAGACTTACCGAGGCTTCTAGACAGGCCATTCATAATGATCACAAGCATTTTCTTGAAAGGAGAATTTTATACTTGGTAGGGAAGTTGCAGTAGTATCAGTCAGGACTGGGATATTTGCTGGATGTTTCTGTTTTGGTACACAAGCTTGTCCGTCTATATCCATGTTAGACTGGGAGTGGGGGGCATATTCTAAAGGACTGGTTTGCTGCTCTTACCTGATGCGGTAGGCTACCATCAGAGGGGAAAAGAGCCCATAACTTTAAAATAAAACTACCTCCTCCTCCATCTCAGAAAATAATAAAATAAAAAACATCCTCAGCCCTGCAGCTAACCCTGACAAGTACCTTCATTCACAGAGCTTTATACTTAAACCGCGATGCGGGAAATGAAAAAAAGCAGAGGGGCCCCATTAGAAATGTTTCGAAACATCCGGAAGATATTTCTAGCCTCTGCTCATGCTTTATTTTAGAGCAGTGCATCAGGACAAGACAGATTTACTAGTGAACATTTCATCTCCAAAGGACTAAAGATGTGTGGACTTTTATTCTGCAGTGCTTCCAAGACTGTGTCCATTAAAATGAAAACAGAAAAGGAAGATGTCTTGCTGAAACAGGAGAAGCAAAGTCCACTTGATGATCAGATGGATTTAAATATTATTTATGGTGCATAGCCTCTTCCATGCTCTAGCTGTTTCTGTGGCTTGGGCTTTGGTCTTCCACTACTCGGCCACATCATCACCGAATGGATCATCTGGGTTGGGAGCATTTAAACTGAACAGTTAGTTCTGAAATGTACTGAGTTCTACATGATCTTCACATGGGACCCCAGAGGCCTGATCCCCTACATACACCACATAAACACTTCCTGGATATCTGGTTTTATCTAGTCCCCCACAACAAAGAAAGATGTGAGTCATCTTCCGGGCCCCTTTCCGCTTCATTAGTGCAGGTTCACATAATTGGGAGGAACAGTGTCTGGCTGTTAAACGGAAGCAGTTCTACGGGGTAAACCTAGAAACAGAGGCAGTTGGGTATAGGGGAGAACTTGGATTCTGGAGTCAAACGGGCTGGGTGCAAATCCCTCGGCCTGTCCTGCCCAAGCTGTGTCTCCTCAGGCAATTCACTGGACCTCTCTGCCCCACCATGACCAGCTGGGCTCTCCTGCTCCTTGTCTCTGTGCTCCTGGACACCCCAGGTAAGGACATTCCCCTCAGTGTAGATCCTGACAGCTCTCTCCCACACCCATTTTCTTGGGCTCGATGAGCTCTGAGCACGGGTCTGTGGGCACTCTAGGTCCCTGGGCCCTTCACCATCGTCATGGCAGCTGGGTCTTTTCCACAGATCCAGATTCAACCCCAGTGAGCTGGTCAATGGGGAGAGACAACCTGAGGAGGGGAGTTCTAATCCCGAATTTGCCAGTCATGCTGTGTGGTCTGATAGCTGCCCCCACACTCCCGTTTCCTCTATGGGTCTGTGTCTCTTTATCTGTGTCATAAAGATCATTGGTCCTCATCAGTAAGTGTGATGTTTTCTCTGGACCATACTGACTAGGATTATGGCAGCAGGGCTTGTGAATGAATATCATTCAAGACTCACTTTCTGTTTCACATACCCTGTTCTGTCTCAGTCTGTGGGGGTTCAGTGTGAGCTACAAGGGCCTCCCTAAGGGTAAGGACACTTCTGGAAGGGAGTGTGATTTGGGTTGAGCCCCTGACATGAATTCTTTTTGGAAAGAAAGAAAAAAGGAAATCTCTTGATGGGAGATGAGAGAAGCTTTCTTTCAGATCAGCTCCCAAATCTGTGTGTGTTTGTATGAGAGTGTGTATTTGTGTGTGAGAGAGACAGAAAAAGAAAGGGAAAGAGAGGAGGTTTAGAGGTGGCAGAGGGTAGTCTTTTCCTTCTGGCTTTCCAGAATGAACTGCAGAGCATGCCTTTGTTGCTGAGGATGGGTTGAAGCAGCCCACAGCAGAGTGTGAGGAGAGGCTTCCTGGAGGACAGCCTCCGTGCTTTTGTCCTGGGTCCTAGTCACCCCTCTGCATCCCTGTCATCCAGGAGAACTAGACTGTTCTTCCCCTTCAACCTGTTGAGTGAGGCTGATGCTCTTCCTTCCCTAGGTCTTTCTTCCTCTGAGAGCTCTGACCGGGCGCCAAGCAGCCCATGTGAGGGAGAGCCGTCCTGCCAGAGCCTGATCCAGGAGGACCTCGAGGTACATGTGTGATTGGCTCCTGGTCACTTCCTGCAACCCCTTCCTCGCCTCTCTGGGAAATGTTCCTGGGTGGAGGGAGGTGACCTATGTATTTCTGGGTGCTCCCCGAGAGGGTCCTCCAGGTCTGACCAGACAGCAGAAGAGCGTCAAGTGTTGGATTGGAAAAGGTATTATGGGTTTGAGGGCAAGTTCTGACGTCTCTCTGCCCTCCTAAGAGTATCAGGAAGGTGGACAAGGGCCGTCCAGCCTGGTTCAGGCCCTAGAGTACAGAAGGAGCATAGGTGACCCTGTCCGCCCTTGTTCCACCCTTAACACTTCTTCTTGGGCCCTCAGAGGCTCTTGGAATGTATAAGAGACCACCATGTGGGCTTCCTTTCCTGACAGGATGAGCTGCTGACCAAAAGTGAGGGGCTGCGCATCTCCTGTTCGCCCTGTAAGAAGATAATCGAAAAGTTGAAGTCACTGGCGGGAGAAGATTTAAATGAGGTAGGCTGGTCAATGTAGCTGGCGGGGGCTGGGTGGCCCCTAGCACCGCTGTCCTGGGCTGTTGCTGAGGGTGGGGATAATCTCACCTTGGGCCAGGACTTCTTAGACAAGGTCTGAGTCCCTCACATGGATGCGCTTCAGGGAATCCTGTGGAATGTGACATACTGGGAGTGGGAAAGTGGGCAGACATGCACTGTGCACCCGGATTTTATGTTATTCTCAAAGGAAAGTTTTCCCCAAGGGGAAGGGACCTTACCTGCTGGCCTAATGTTAGAGCTCCGAGAGGCTGTTCCTGAGGGTTCTGGGCAGCACTGACAAATCCCAGGTCTGCCTCTCCTGGCTGCGTGCTCGTGCTGGTGTTTAGTCTTAATTTTCCTATCTGCGGCATGGGATGCTAGAAATCACTGGCTGGTAAACGCTCTAAACCCTTTAAATAAGTGCAAGAGTGAAACGTCCTTAGCTCCACTTCTGACACTGAAAGCATATTTAACCAGTGGCATGTTACTACCAAGGAGCATCGTTCCACTCTTGCTCCCTCTTCTTTGCTCCCCTAATCTGGCACTGCAGGGCTCTCCCTCAACTGAGAAAACTCAGATATATTGTCTGCTGAGATGGCAGTAGAAGACACCTCAAAATCAAGTCAGTCTAGGCTCTGAGCTCTGACCCTCCTCACCTGCCCCTAAGGTGGAGGCCCCCATTAGGTGCAACCCCCCTAAGTGTACCCTCCAGTCTGTCCTAGACCCAGGAATCTATGTAGGCAGAGCCTTTAATGTGGGTCTGGCAGCCATGGACATCATTCTCTACCCGAAAGATAGGGACAGGTGTGCAGGGGGCTGAGAACCTGGTTGGGCCAACTGTCCTTCTCTCGAGAGCCCCTGCTGGTCAGAAGGGGTTTTGGGGAGCAGGTACGGGGCCTGATCTTGTCTCTGCTTCCATGGCCATGGGGCCACCCAGCACTCTTGTGGTTAGAGCTGCCCAGATACACTGGGTGGCAGAGCAGAGCTGGGTGGGGCTGGCTGGATTCCCATGTCTGCCCTGGCACTGCTCTTGCAGGACAGCATCGCTCAGGCTGCGACCCAAGTGTGCAGCAGCATGAGGCTATTGAAAAAGCCCTGCAAAAACATCATGAAAAAATATCTCAGTGTCATCTCCGAGGACCTCATAGAAGGCAAAGATGCCCGTGACATCTGTGTGGACATAAAAATGTGCAAACCTCGCGCAGGTAAGTGCAGATGTGACAGCAGGGACTCCGACCTGAGGGCACCAGCCTCCCCCAGCATGTGCACCTGGTTTAAAAAAACACCTGTCACAAGCAGTTCATATGTGTCCCTCCAAACTTCCTGGTGATGTGCATCACTCCTCCTATTCCCAGCACAGAGAGTGAGGAGTGGTTGGGCAGGTGAACTTGAGCTAGAAATCCTTGAGAAATACTCATTAAAAGTTGGGACTTCAGAGACAGGCAATCCTGGGGTAAAATCTGGTCTTCATTTTGCCTCAACTGTGTGACCTTGGACAAATCACTTAACCTTCCTGAACTTCTGTCTCCTTATCTTTGAGGGGGGCAATTGTACCATTTCTGAGTTTGGAATCAGAATTGAATGAGATGATATCAAACAGGCTTGTCACCAAAGAAATGTTCTCAGATCGTGATATTCAGAAGACATCAGAGCCCAAATCAGACTCGATTCTTCCAGCCCAGCTGGGGTCTCTGGGGACAGGAGCCAGGGCCACATTCTTTCCTATGATCTCAGAGGCCAGCGAGCTGGGTTTGGCTATCCTGATGGGCAGAGAGGGCTCTCTGGGTCTATTCCCTCAGGGCCACCCAGCCTTGCCTGGGGAAACAGGCCACACTGCAGGAGAAGGGGCTAAGAAGGGGCTCGTGATTGGCTCTGGCAGCCCATTGAGCACTCACTCATGCTTTGGGACTTGAAGCTGGCAGATATGAGACCCCCAAGTAGTGTGAAGACCCTGACATTTCCTTTATTGCAAACTGAAGCTTTTACATTCAGAGCCCCATGACCTCACTGGCTCCTGACTGATTGCTAGGATGTGACTCTGGGTATGCTGAGCAGGGACTGGTAACTCTGACCCCTTGGTTCCCCTGAATACCCTCTGAACATGCCCACAACGGTCTCTTCTCTCCTATCCAGGTCCCATGTGAGCCTCCACCTTGGGGAAGACCACGGAAATTCCAGCAACCTCTGCCAGCTCCTTCCTTCCTAAAGCCAGATTCTACCCTCCAGTCCCTCTCACCTAACTCCCACTACTGACCTTGCCCTCTCAGGAGAATAAAATGTCATGGAGGCTTAGTCACAGCGTCTTTTCCTTTGGCAGAGTTGAGGGGAGGTGCTCAGAGCCACACTCAGGTGACTTGCCTTCATTCAACAAATATCCGTTGGGTGTCCACACACTTTCTAGCTCCTTGGACCTTGTGATGAGCAACACAGACTCAGCAGCTTTCACACATTACAGTCACCCCCACTCCCACACCCCCATGGGAGGTTCCGCTTTCTGAGGATTTGCTTTAAGTTACTGGTGGTCCATGAGGGTAGAGAATATATACAGTAGTGTGTTTTGAGAGAGGGCCCACACTAACGTACTTTTTATTAAGACATTTTGTTTTATTGTTGTTAATCTCTTACTGTGCCCATTTTGGAAACTGAGCTTTATCATAGTTCTGCATGCGTAGGAACAAAACAAAACAAAACCTGTCAAGCTCAGTATAATTCTCAGTTTTAGGCATCACTGGGGGTCTTGAAAGCTATCCCCCATGGATAAGGGAGGACTACCTTAGTCATGAGATACTGAATTGAGCACTTGCCAAACCCACACTTTAATCTAAGAGGCTGGGGTACAATGTGATATGCCCCCAGAAGCTCCCAGACCAATTAGGGAGGCCAGCAGGTTGGAGTTATCTTGTTTATAAGCAATAAAAGCCCATCCTTGGCCTACCCAAGGTAGACAACCTTCTTTTGGTCTTTTGGGGAAGCATATCACCTAGGCTTTTTTGGAGGGTTGTAAGCTCATCCTGACTTAAATAAAAAAAAGTAATTTATTACCTTTTTGTGTACAGTGTCACCAGAACTCTGGTCCTTCTTTCAGCTTCTCTCAGTTCTTCCCATCTCTGCCTAGGGAAACTGACCTCAGGCTGGCTTCCTTCTTGGCAGCTGAAATGACTGCACAGGCCAAACTTTACATCTTCACAGTATAGCATCAGAAGGGACAGAGTTCTTTGTTAGTCTCTCTTCTAGTAGATCGCTTGGAAGAGAAAGGAATCTTCTTTCCCAGATGACCCAAAAGACATCTCGACTCTTCTTGGCCTGTGTCAGCCGGGTGACCAACTTGAACCAATCACTACGCACAGGGGTGTGGGATACACTCATTAGCATAAGTCCAGTCAGGGTGTACCTCTGGGGCTGAAATGCGGTCACCTTTCCCTGATCATTTGGTTAAAAATGGACATGAAAGTTTGGGAGAGATTGTTGCTGGAAGAGGGGAAGGTGGATACAGGCAATGAGGAGCATTCAATCAAAAAAGAAAAACAGTTAAAGGGGGTCTCGATAGTGAAATCTAAGAAAATTTGAGGATCAAAATAGATCATGACAATAACTTATGGTAACTCATAAGTAAATTATAGTCTATGAATTCATATAGATAAATAATAAATTATACATAAATAATAAAATAAAAATAATAAATACATCTATAGATAATAAAAAAGGAATAGAAAAGAAAAATGCTTCTTTATTGTAGAGTCAATTGATAAATGTAGACAAAGTGACAATGTATATCACCATAAAATATTTACCAATATGATAATAATTAATAAATTCCATTACTCATTAACTTGATAGGGGAGAAACCTCCAGACAGGTGATGAATTAATGTCACCACTAATGGCACAAGTAAACATCATGGGTCTCATGATACAATGAGCTGAGAAGAACACAATATTTTTCGGGTGTCCCTGCCAATCATGCATAGATCATGAGGAAACATCAGACAATCCAAACTGATGTTCTACAAAGTAACTGGTCTGTACTCTTTAGGAATATCACCATCATGGAAGACAAGGAAAGACTGAAGAGCTGTTCTAGGTAAAAGGAAACTAAAGAGATAATTAAAATTTTAATTTTAACACATGATCCTGGTTTGGAGAAAGACCTATGAAAGATTTGGTTGTGTTGTCAAGTTCTGGGGTTCCTGGATTAGGATTTCCTCTGTTCTTGACCATGGTGTGAGAATTCACAACCACGTCTTTAGCAGAAACAAAGCACAGTTTATTCAGAGACAGAATAAAACAACACTCAGGGAGGGCTCCTTAGGTGGGCAGAGTCCTTGGCAAGAACAACTGGGTAGAAACTGTGGGGCCTCTGACCTTAAATGGTGTGCAGGAGCTGTGCATTTTGTCCCTTCCTGGGATGCACTGTACAGGTGATCCTGGGGTGTAGTCTATGGGTCCAGGTAGCAGTTTCTTAGTCACTCACCCCTCCTTCTAACGTAGTTTTATTGGCCCTTGCTGTTGATTAGGGCTAGGGAGAGGATTCGACCTCAGTTGCCATGTCAGTTCGACCTCAGTTGCCATGCTGATGTCAACCAGTCTGCCCTTCCTTCCAGGGGCGGGGAGCACTTGTTTTTTTGGTTTTTTTTTAAAGATTTATTTATTTATACATCGGAGAACTGGGGTACAGGCCAGAGTTGTGGGGGGTGAGAGGATTCACCAGAGACAGAGTGGGGAACAGAACAGGCAGATTGAAATACACTGCTGAGGGGAGCAGCAGATGATACAGGAGAGGTCTGCTGCGCCATGTGGGTTGCTCCCTAGCCAGCTGGAGACTGAACTCATGTTGCAGTGGCTGCTGACAGCTTCATAGGTTGTTTTAACCCCTTGCGCCAGCAGGGTGGCTCCACTTGGGTTTTGTTTTTTTGTTTTTGTTTTCAGAACACTGCTTGTTCTATTTAGGGGAATTGCCTTGTCATCTAGAAACACACCAATTTTCTGGAATTCCCCCACTCTGGGGGCTTCTTGCTCTCCTTGGGCTCTGTAGGCCTGTCTGTAGGTTGGTGGTGGTGATGGAGGAGGGGGTAGCCTGCCTCTCTCCTCTCTGGGCTTTATCACCTCTGCAAAGTGTTTTCTGGGGTCCTGGATATAGTTGGCCATTTAATTTTCTTTTCTGTTGCCCACCTGTGACTATGTAGGTGCTTCCTTTCACCAACTCTCTCCCTCTGCAGGACAGCAGCCTTCCTGCCTGCCCTTGATCTGTGCCTTGCTGGGACTTCTCTTCACTGACCTCCCTCAGCGGAGGAAGCTCTCCTTAAGGCCGCCCGCCTGCAACCATGCAGGCCTCTCTTAGCAAATCTTGTCCCTTTCCCTAATAAACCTGCTCTTTAAATATTAAAAAAAAAATTTTTTTTCTTTAGGCATCACCCTCCTTGCCCTAAATGTGTAACATTAAGGCAGTCTTTGAAATGTGACTGGAATCAGTGATTATACTATTAAGGCAATGTTAATTTCCTGATGGCTACGCTGGGTTTTGTATGCAAGTATCTTTTTTCCCTCCCCATTTCTAGGAGTATCCTTCTTGTAAGTAAATACAGCTAAAATATTTAAGGTGATGACAGGGCATCTTGTGCACCATTTATTGTCATATCATTTAGAAGAAATGGAAAAATTACATATAAAAACACTATGAGAAGGCACATATCACATACATCTACTAAATATTTACAGTGGGGCAATCTGTGACTCTCTATGTATAGGAGGATGTTATCTGCTTATGCAGAATGTTGTATGTCTTCCTTTCTAATCTGAATGACTTTTATTTAATTTTCTAGCTCATTTTTTTTTTTAACTAGAATCATTAGCACCATATTGTATAGAAGTCACCAGAGCAGACATTCTTGCTTCTAATTGTTCCTAATCTTTTGGGGGAAAGCACTTAGTCTTTTATCAAAGGATGATATCAATTCTGCACTTTTCATAGATACCCTGTGTCAGGGGAGAATTTCCCTTCTATTCCTAGTTTATTGAGTGTTCTAGCATAAAAGGATGTTGAATTTTGTTCAGTGATGTTTCTGCATCTATTGAAAAGATAGTTTGTATTTTGGTTCTACAGATATGGTGAATTATATTAGTGGATTTTGGGTGTTAGATCACTTTGCATTCCTGGATATTTGGTCATGGTTTATAATTCCTTTTTATGTGTTACTGGATTTGCTAGGATTTTCTTAAGGATCATTGCATCTATGTTTATAATAGATGCTGGTCTGTAGTTTTCTTTTCTTAAGATGTCTTTTTCTGGTTTTAGCATCAGGGTGTCCTCTTCTAATTTTTGGAAAAGTTTGTGAAGAATTGGTATGATTGTTAGAATTCATCTGTGGGTGAACTGTGCCCAGATATGTGTCCAGGTAATTTTGATGTCTATGTTTGATAAAATGCATCAGTGAAGATATCTGACCTGGGCTTTTCTTTGTTAGTGTTTTTTTGCATTACTAATTCAATCTGTTATAGGTCTACTAAGATTTTCTATTTTTTTAAAGATTTATTTATTTATGCATATAAAAGCTGGGGTATAGGCCAGAGGTATGGGGGGTTGAGGATTCACCAGAGACAGTGTGGGGAGAAGAACAGGCAGACTGACTGAAATACACTGCTGAAGGGAGCAGCAGGGTGAGACAGGAGAGGTCTGCTGTGCCATGTGGGTTAGCTCCCTGGCTGTAGATCGAACTCGTGCTTCAGTGGCTGGTGATAGCTGATAGTGTTATAGGACAGGGAGAGGGGCAGCCCAAACCCTGCAAACCTGCCTATTCTAAATGGGTTCTGCCATCCACCGCATCAACACAAAACATATGAGACTTTAATGGGAAGGAACTTTAATAAAACTAGGAAACAATACAGGTAAGGCAAAGAGTCTCGTTTCTAAATGAAGCACCAAAAGTTACCCGTCCCCTCGTGGGTAAAAGTACATCCATATGGGATCAGCCCAGAACAAGGCCCCAAAGCCTGTCACAAGTCTAAAGCATCTTCCAGTGGGGACCCACAGAAAAGGGTCACGAACAACCAGACAAGCCCGGAAGGAAAAGAGCAAAATCAACATCAAGATAAAAGCTGCCATTGTCACCTCCCCATGGGTCTCACCCACATCTGTGTCACCCAGTCCACGACCAAAAGACAAGCGCAGTTTCTTCACGTGTCTCTAGGCTCCATCCTGCTTCCTTCCTCAGTTTCTTCTGCAGCTTCTCCTCTTCCTGCTCAGCTCCACCCTCCCTTGGGTGGGGCAGGGAACCTCCCCCTTTCCTG